GAAGTACGTTATCCATGTTTATATTTCCTTGCTTCTACGTACGTTACTCCAAGCAGTAGCCGTTAACTGGCAAACCAAGCATATTTTTTTATATACAACGTTTTTCCTTTGTTTTCTTCTACGGAAGTCGGTTTTATTAATATTTTTTTTTTTTTCACGCGTCTTTGCGTTGACCTCCTCTACTATGGCATCGAATAAAGAGTATTCGTAGACTGTGCGTACACAAATTAAAGGATGATAACTTTCCCAAACAAGCTACTATTTATATATATTTTGACTCCCTGTTTTGAAGTCAGCCTTTACAATTGAATTTACTAAATTAACGTATAAAACGAAGAGATACAAGTATCCCCTTGAATAAAAAACACTGTGATCGAAAACAACAGGATTGTCCATATTTCAGAATTACGATTATATGTAAGTTGTATCGGCGTTAATTAATAAATTTGAGGATATGCGTTGAATTTCGTGTACCGCGAAATCGTGTTGTAGCTCAACTTTTTGTTCTTGTTTTGTTTCGCAACGGTACGATTCTCAGCCCTTCGTATGTAAATTGGAGTCATTTGTAGATTCTGCGAAGGGTGCATCGGGGAATGGACCCTTCACACCCCAAACGGCAACGTGATTGCCACTTGTTCCTCTTTTCGTTTGTATTTTTCGGATAGACTCGCACTCGACTCACGGCAAACACGGTGCCGAGGTAAACGTTGCGCCGCGTATGCACGCTTGTTAGAGCAAACTCATTAACATCCTCCCTCTAACGCGTTCGACAACGCGAGTTTCGTGTACCGTGCGGGCATCGTACACTTTCGTACCACTTCGAGACAGTCCCAGTGCGTCGTTCTATTCGCCAACGCGTTCGCGCCCCGTACAAAACAACCGTTTGTCTCGGTTTATTTGTTCGATCCGTTGAAGCTCGAGTTAATTGTTCGGTCGAGCGACTCGCATGAAAATCGATCGTTTATCGACGTAGGAAGAAGGAACGGATCCTCGCGCTGAATGCGTTTAGAAGCAATTAATCAATTAGAGTGCGTTCGTGTAGCGAATCGTATCGATACGTTGCGCAACTTTCGTTCGGAAAACTGGTCGGGAAAGACCAGCCACGGGCTTCGGCCATGCACGAAACTCTCGTCTTCTCTTTCGATGCGTACATGTTGTGATTAGAATTTGAATTCTATGCTTTCGCGTATCCAATTGAAACTACGTCCTTTACTCAAACTTGCTGGTGGCTTCAACTAGTTGATTGGCTCCTGGCTGTACGCTAAATACATAATACTAGGTGGAGGTAACTATTTCTTTCTCGTTGAAATCTTCTAGAAAAATAAATTCTATTAGAAACTGACTAGTAAAGAATAGTTACCCTTCCCTCGTACTCTATTTTTGAAATAATTGCCACTCGGTCTTTTAAATTCAAGACAGGATCGGGTGAGCAAATATCGACGCGTGTTTGTGATTTATTAACATAAATGATCAGGCAATCGACGGAAGAACGCCACTTTTCGTGGCAAATAAAGAGTCAGTAAAGTGGATCGAAGATATTTCACGATCGATCGACGATCTTTGGTTCTGAGAATTGCTCAGTGCTCGTATTTTTTAGTAGAACAACGAGTCGGTGTTTCATTGGAAAACTTTGAGTGCAAAATGCTCGATGATCGATCCGCATCGGGGAAAAGTCGTATTAATATTCAGTGCATGCCGGACGCCGAGACCGTATCGAGAATGTATCGACGAGATCTACCAAAGCGAAACAATGACTTTTCGCTTTTGAACGCGTTCGGAGTGTGCGACGCGTTTCGAGTTTGACGAAGTGTGATCCCCGCTTGTTCGTAATTCGTCGATCGTTTTCCCAAGTAGAAATCGAAACAGGAGAAGGAATACTTTTCATAGATCGAAGTCGTTTTAGCTTCGCGAAAAATGGACCGGTCGATGGCAGACTTTCGCTCGACTAAGAATTTTTCACACTTGTCCAGGGACGTGCCTCTGTTTTCCTCCCTGGACGAACTGCACGAGAAACTCACGGAACTCCTAGGTAAAACCTTTCTTTTAACACACGTTCGCTGCATCGATTCATATCGATTTAGTAATAGATAAGTTCATTGCGCTAATCATCGAATCATTTTCCTTTCCATTCGAACTAATCTTCCGTGAGCATCTCTTGAAAATCGACAAATTATAGTAGTGGCTTGTAGATGTAGTGGAGATCTTCGCTTGCAATGCTACACAGCGAAAAATCAAAGTTGCATCGGTGATAAATGCATACTGTTGTTCTGTGCTGAGCAAAGTGTAACGCGATTAACGATCAGAATTAACGATCGTTGTTGTGTGATCCAATCAATGATTTACCATTACGATTTTCGTTATTTCGACTATTTCAACGGAGAACATAAATCGAATACAAGTAACATAAATATTAATGTATATCAAATACATTTATTGTATTATCCTATAAATACTTACAGTATAAGTTTGCACGATTTGTTTACATTCATGCTTGTTAGTATTTTTCTATGAAATTTAGATAAGAACGTAACGAACCATTCGTTTGTTTTATTCGGCAACAACTAGAAAGGTATCGATCCAAAATTGACGTTGAATATATTAGGTTGTCCAGAAAGTTCGTGGCAATTTCTAAGAAAAATTCAAAGGCATATAATATATATACACGTATTTATTGAATTACATAGGTGCCATTTTGTTCCACCAACCTTTCCACCTTTTAAGGGATGTATACATGTTATTTGTTTTCAACCATTTCGACATATTCAGATCTGTACCACCTACCAAAAATCGACATGGACTTTCCGGTCAACCAAATACAAGAGTAGAATATCTAAAAGTAATCGTAAGGATTTAGTTGAATGTTCGTATTTGAATATTGCGGGCTTGGTGCGTCGGCGAATGGTCGGGCAGGTTCGGCAAGATTCGCGGCGATTCGCGCGCGCTCGGTTTTTGCGTACAAGATGGCGGTTCCCGTGGAGGCAGCAAAACCTGGTGCGGTGTGACGTCACGCCATAGTAGTGTTGTGCGGTTATGCGTTCGTGAATTCCGCCATTGAAAGTCGGTGATTGCGTTCAGATCAATGGCGGGTTAGATGGACGAATATGTGACACGGTAAAAGGTTTCACGGGAGTGTCGTGAATAATCGTGAAGGTTTTCCTAGTTCTTGATCGCCGGCGTGGCGCGCCGCGCGTGTGTCTTGTGTCTCAGATAGAGTTACACGGGTATATTGGACCTCGCACCGGGAGTAAGCTCGCGCGTGCGGATCTCTCTGGTCGCGTAGTGTCTCATGTGCGAGATGGCCGGTAAGTAAGCGTGATAAGCGACGGGGTGTCTGGTTCTGCGTTTACGTCGCCGCGTATTTCTATCGCACGCTGTGTCGAAGCAAACGGTGCGTCGCTCCTGCTGGCCGCCTCGCCACGCCGCGGCAACCTGAACCTTGACCCAGATACTATATCACGGGTTCACGGGTATATCCGCAGCGCTCGCGGTGTGCACGCAACGTTCTTCTCTTCGTCAATTCCGCATCCTCAAATATAATCACCCCGTACCCACTCTCTGGATTCTTGCCGTGCGCGGGGCCAGATGCGCCCGTCGCCGGCCACGGCGACGGCAGCGGCGGCGGCGGCGGCGACGGCCTAGAAGCACGATGGATTGCGCCGAAACTTCAAGTAGGCTTACATTTACCTTTTCTCGCGTCTCTTCCTACCATTTCGCTTTCCCGTTCTCGCCCTTTCATTCGGCCGCGTTACATTTCTCTGCTGAGTCCGCTTTTCCGCGAGAGAAACAAGGTTTCTTGACTTCGCACGAGTTACGCTGTCGCCTCACTCGTCTTCCCACGTTTATATTTTACCGTGTCTCGCAGGTGCACGCTTGACGTTATTTTTCTCCCCCTGTCTCGTCCTTTTTACATCTTTGTTGTCCTTATCGATTAGCGCTTTTCTCACGTTTTTTTTTGTCAACTCAATCGTACACGCAGTCGGTCGAGCGACAGTACCACGTAAGTTTTGGAGGAAACTTCTAACGCGTCCTTTTTCTCCACTCTGCACCTGCCCATTTTATAGTCGAGACAGCGCCGGATTAAGATTTTCTAGACACCTGGGCCACAGATCCGGCGAAGACAATAATATTTTTGAAACGTGAAATGGAAAATTAACTTATTTTTACAAAATTAACGACAATCGATCCTGCAAATTTCAATGATTTTAAGCTGTTTTGATGTACAAAATAAATTCATGCCTTTGTAAGCATCGATAGGAGATACGAATTGGCAATTATAATTTAGCTTGAACTTAAAATTACTTATTCCACATTATTGTCTTGTAAACAGAACTAGAACAGAACTCCATTACAAGCTAAATGCTGTAAAACACATGCCTTAATCCGGTCCTAGTTTGAGACGCACAATGTAATTGAAATAACAAGCATTAAGGGTTCTTGGTTCTTCTCGTGATACAATATTTGTACATAAACAGAGGTTGTAAACTAGTACGAAATGTAACTACATTATATTGGGAATTGGAATTATCAGTTGTTTACTCGAATGTCTCCTAACACTTTGCTTCTGTCCCGATTTACAAGAACTTGAACAAGAACTTTTTTGCATTTAACAATGTATCTTTTGCATTTATGTTTCAGGCAATGGTGACATACAGTGGTGTTTCTCGCAGGTGAAAGGAACATTGGAAGATGATGTCACCGAAGGTAAGTTTAATTTCATAATCTCATTTGCTAACTCATAGTTTCGTCTTATCAGTTTATGTTTACTATAATGGCATAAAGGAGTAATGTAATTCAATAACTCAAAAATTATATCCTAATATATTATGACAACTGACTAGACTGGAGTATTTATTTCCATTATGTGTTTCCACAATTATTTCCATTATATGTTTTAGCTGATATAATCTCGTGCGTTGAATTTAACCACGATGGCGATCTTCTGGCAACAGGAGATAAAGGTGGACGGGTTGTTATTTTTCAAAGAGACCCCATTGTAAGTTGAGATAACTAATATTTTTATTGATAAATTAAATCAATAAAAATTAATTATCAGCACATGCATACAGACATAGAATATACATTAGCATGATAGTCTTTGCACTTTTAAACAAGAGAAATGCGTCCTTTAAATAAAAATGATTATATACCTTACTATTGGATTATTGCCAACCTTATGTATACAGCATGCTACATTTCTCTATCTTTAGAAACTTTCTAAAGATAATCATCGAGCACAATGTAAAGAACAATCATTTTGAATAGGTTTTTTTATTTTGAATCAGATATCGTGCAATAATAAGAAAATGTTATCATTTGTGTAGAGTAAAAACAGTATACCACGGAGGGGTGAATACAATGTATATAGCACCTTCCAGAGTCATGAACCTGAATTCGATTACCTGAAATCACTAGAGATAGAAGAAAAAATTAATAAAATTAGGTGGCTAAAAAGAAAAAATCCCGCACATTTTCTACTTTCCACGAATGATAAAACAATTAAATTGTGGAAAGTTAGCGAGCGGGATAAAAGAGTAGAAGGGTACAATACAAAGGAAGAAAATGGTTCGATTCGTGACCCTGCTTGTATCACTTCTTTAAGGGTGAGTAGTTCGTATTAACCGTTTGCATTATTATAATGTATAACAACTCCGAAATTAAAGTTGACTATACGATAAGACAAACGAGATAAATTGATCGAAGCAATATATATTGAATTTTTAAAAATAAATTTACTTTGAACTGCATTCATCGTTTTAAAGCTCTATGTAAATATAGTGCTTTCTATACTATTGTATTTCTAACAGAACTGTTTACAATAGAAATATGGTCATGGAGTTCAAACATGCACATAATATTATGAGAGTGACATTGTGACAATATCAACTATTTATAGTTTTTATAAACATTATATGGAACAAAATATTTAAAATATATGTATTCTATACCTGGCCATTTAATTGCTCAGGTACCATCTATAAAACCAATGGAGTTGATGGTGGAAGCGTCGCCGAGAAGAATATTTGCCAATGCGCACACTTATCATATAAACAGTATAAGCGTCAACAGTGACCAGGAAACATACCTCAGTGCTGATGACCTTAGAATTAATCTTTGGCACCTAGAGATCACAGACCAGAGTTTTAGTATCCTTTTACTATATCGTGGTTGTTTTGTTAATAGCACATAATAATATCAATTTTTGAGTAACATTGCTTAATTTTCCTAACCATTGTATACAGATATAGTAGATATTAAGCCAACTAATATGGAGGAATTAACAGAAGTTATAACTGCTGCAGAGTTTCATCCAGCAGAATGTAACGTTCTGGTATATAGTAGTAGCAAAGGAACAATTAGACTTTGTGACATGAGATCTGCTGCACTTTGCGACCAACACAGTAAACTCTTTGAAGAACAGGAAGATCCAACCAATAGAAGTTTTTTCTCTGAAATAATCTCGAGTATAAGTGATGTAAAACTTAGTCATTCTGGAAGATATATGATCAGTAGAGACTACCTCAGTGTGAAAGTGTGGGATTTGCAAATGGAAACCAAACCCATTGAATGTTACCCTGTACGTAATAAGATCGCCAACTATCTTACACCCAATGAAAAAGATATTTATTAATGGCATTGTTGCAGGTACATGAATACCTAAGATCAAAGTTATGTTCACTGTATGAGAATGATTGCATCTTTGACAAATTTGAATGTTGTTGGAGTGGTAATGATTCCGCTATTATGACGGGCTCGTACAATAATTTCTTCAGAGTATTTGATCGTACAACTAAGCGTGATCTTACACTGGAGGCGGCGCGTGACATTGCCAAACCAAAAACACTTCTAAAACCGCGTAAGGTTGGTATTTACATACACGTAATGAATTAAGAAGCAATTGTTTATCAGTATTATTTACATAATTGTTTTACGTAAAAGGTCAGTACCGGTGGTAAACGTAAAAAAGATGAAATTAGCGTTGACTGCCTGGATTTTAATAAGAAAATACTACATACCGCATGGCATCCATCTGAAAATGTAGTAGCCGTTGCTGCTACGAACAACCTCTTCCTATTCCAAGACAAACTCTAGCACATCTGTATGCAAGTATGTTTATTTGAGATTGTATCAATTTTCAAATAAAAGTATATATTTACATTGGTATGTTACAGTCAAAATCATAGGCACTTTCTTTTACTTTAGATTATTCAACGGTATATATTGACGTGAGCAGGACACGTTGAACTGAAGAATCCCAGTGGAACAACGGGTGTCTGAATTACGCTGACGAAAGTCGACTATTAACGTGTCAATGGTTGACTGACCGAAAAGTGGTGTACGTAGCGCCGTCCACGCAGCTCGCATATTCATACACACTATGTATACACAAACATACAGAATTGCACGTAACACCTTGTCGCGCGTATATGTGTATATAAATGCATGCAAGCAGAGGCATATGCATAGCTCGCCAGACTACTAAAGTTCGCTAGTTCAAATAAAATTGCACGGGGATCCATTGCCCACTAATAGAAAAATGTACAGTTCAACCAAAATACAGACTCGTGTTGGCGGTTATTATTTAACTGTTTTTAATAAAATATTAATATTTTCGGTTCGTTTGTATCATAGATATTGTGCTGCCGCACGAATTAAAACATTTTTAATGTATGCGATCCTTCTACAATATGGAACAATATTTATGAAAAAAGTGTATCAGTAGAACCAAGCGCAAACAATTAAAAGTCGCTAGATGCGGCTTCTGTACTGTCAATACGTGTGCGTAGTACATACATAAATTTACTTAATAAATTATTTGCAGAATAAAAAAAAAATGCCTTAAAACAAGCACAGAATGAAAAGTAGAAATGGTCATATGTGCCAATGAAGTTTATCTATATCTTGTTGCAATTTTATTCTTAGCTCAGTATTGTTCTTCGTAAGTTTTCCCGTATACTAAAGTCTGCGTTCTCGGTAGATAGTTAAATTCAAAATTAAAATTTTTGTATCATCGAAAACCTAGTTCCTTTGTTTTTAGGATAAATGTATATTCACATTTCTTAATAACAGCTTTTAATGCTACAAAGTATACCGGCAGTTACCATTACAGAGAAAGCGTAGCTTTCGATACTTTAAATTAATCGTTCGTCGTTATTATTTAGTACAAAAAATAATGTTACACGGTAGACCTACATTCTCTTGTTTTTACTTTCTTAATAAAATTTGTCAAGTATACTCCTTTTCACGTGTCAGTTTAAAACAAATATTCGCCGATACGAGTCGAATTGAGAAAATACAAATCGAATTCCATATTCTACTAAAAACTTGAAGGAAACAGTTCAGTATCGATATATTTGATACATTAAGCAATAAACAGCATGGGTGCGAAGCACCATTCGTCGATTGTCGCTTTCTAATGAAAAATTGCCCGGCTAAGAGATATGCGGAAACTGTGGTAATTACAGAGGGAATACAGATTTTCTAATATTTCTTATCGATAACTTATTAACACGTATACACTTACATATATAAGCAACGATTTCGTATACAGATAAAAGTAACCTTAAAAAGTGCATTTGACGATGGTAAGCTGGGCTTGCAGAGTTTATATAAATTAAATATGCGCTGTGTAACATGTATATTAACGGAATGTAACAGTAACATTCGTGAAACCTATAGGGACGAAATTCGAATGTAATAATAAGATCGAAACATACGCGCGGATTACCGATTGCGATCAAGGTGAATATAATTGAAATTTTTTTATCGATAAATACAACAGCGAAAGTTGTCTCGGCGACACATAATACCCTACATTGGTTACTTGAATTGTATGTACATGATCGAGAATTAGAGCTAATAATTTTCACGTGTACAAATAAGGATTCTTGATACAAGCTAACAATCGACTTTCGAGATTTCCTAACGGTACATAAGCAATCATATAGTTTTATAAAAACAAAAAAAAATATATATATGGCCGCTACATTAAAAGATTATTGTAGGAGATTTACTCGGACTCGCCAATTGTCCCTGATTTCATATAAATTCTCTGAAAGATCTGCTATATCGCCAAAAATAAACGTGATGTAAAATTATGCGCTTTGATTAGTTCCAACCGATCATATTCTTACTCGAACGATGTAACGTTTAAGCATTAAGTTTTAGGTATCGAAAATTGATTAATTAGGTATTTTATTCGTTGGGTTCCAGAGCCAAACAAATTATTATATGATATTATTACGTTTCTTGCGATGCAGCTTTCACGCGTCTTATAATTTCCTACGAGAAATATGCACGCGAGAGTATAGACATAACCGAGAACTATACACGAATCTCTACTAGATCGCCGCTAAAGGTATTCAATTCCATAATTACCATATCGGTGCGGAAAAAGTAAAAGAAAAAACCAGCTTCTACGTTTTATTCACTGCAATGCACGAAACGTAATAATCGGACACCAAACTAAGACTTATTACTCAATATCTTTGTAACGCGACATTTAGGCGATTGTGTACTCACGGAGAAAGAGGGTGAAAAGACACGAATAAAAATGCAAAATCATAATCGATAAGCTGTAATCATAATACGTTATCAAAAAGGATATTACGCGCGACGGAACCGCGACATTCGTTATCTGTGCTCGAACAAAACATAGAGTTATTTTTACAATAAGTAATAATATTATTATCGCTATTAGTATTATTATTATTAATATTATTACAGGGATTCTGCGTTATTTGGTTGTTTTGTTAACTGCTATGCAGGTTCACTAACGGTGATGACCATTTGATCTGTTCGGTTAGTTAGGTAGCATGATGTCGATGGTGTATATGTAATTGATCGCGAACTAAAACAATTGTGTTAAGTGGCTAGAAATAAACCGATACTTGTCACGCGGTGAAGCGGTTTCATGAAAGCTATCACACAGGGTGTCCCGTAATTCAAGTAAATGCGAGTGCTTGCTTGTTTACAAATAAGTTGAAAAGTTTCCAAAAAGTTTCAACTTATTTTTGAACGAAGATTCGCTTTTCTGTTTAGTTGTACCGATCGGGACGCCCATTATTCCAAAGGATTCAAAGTATACTACAACAAAGAGCCCAGGGCTCCCGTCGTATTCTTCATAGACGTAAAGTTTATTGGTGACAAGATCGATGAATAATAACAACAAATGATCGAGAAATGAATTACAGTGAAACTAATATAATAATGAAATCACTTGAATAGAATTTGTATCCGCTTATTTGATACAAAGAGTTGGGGAGGGAGCAAGGGCAAAACTGAAGTGTCCCGTGCGTGATGAATTCCTCCGGAAGACATTCTGACTTAGAAAAAAAATGCCTTACGACGTCGTATCATCGCTGCATCCGTGCATCGGACAATCCGAATTGACGTAAAAGTATAAAGAAAAAAAAAAAAAGAAGACGAAAAAGAACACTGAGCAGAGTAGTACTTTTGGCACGCAGGACCTGTCTCGTTGTGATAATAAACGTCATTGTATTACTAGCCGAATGTTGGAGCTCTATTTTTATTAACGTACCACATACGTATTATTAGTCCATACTTAGCGTTTTTATAGCAAATACGTAAGGAGAGTCTTTTTACCTGTCTTGCGTGAGGAACAAAACTAAATAGAATTGCGATAGTTTCGATCCGCGACACTTTCGCGAGTTGAATTTTACACGGATTTTCTTCGTAATTATTACATGGATTCATTTCTTCTCGCTGATGCACGCAATTAGGTAGAACGAACGATCACGGTATCCACCATCTAAATACGGATAATCGTGCCATAATGCGCTAACGTGTAAAGATATCGCCTTTTTTTACTCTCTCCACTTACATTCTACTTAATGAAAAATCAATCTACTTCGTTTTACGAATCAAAATTACATGTCTGTTAACACGAAAGCGAAAGTACCGTTACCTAATTCGAAGCGTTAGGTAGCGAGAAGAATGATGTCAGACCATAAACATATGACGAATAACGAACCTGTCGAAAATCCAACGGCAAACAAGTACACGATATAATTTTCACTCCTGGTTTTGAGTTTTACCATTCCACCTGATCGTGATCGTTTCGATCGACTCTCGAACGAGTCTCGAAGATTTTACACTTATCACTCTTGTCAACAATGTATCCGAATTTCTTCGAGATCGTTTCGAGTTTATTTTGTACTGCATAATGTGCCTCAAGAGATGTCAGCATTACCGAGAGAGCGAGAGAGAGCAAGTGGCGATTAAAGTTCATGATATCGATCGAGATCTGTTTGCAAAAGGAAACGATCAAGAATAATAATAATAGAATCGAGTTAAAAGCTGCGAGCGAGCATACATTGTCGTTAAGATTTGTCGTGAAACGTTGGAACCAAAAGAATGAGAACAGAGGGGAAGGAAAATTCCAAGAAAATCGCGAATGAAAAGACACTTGTATTATAATATAGCGTTACGATAGCGTATAAGCGCATTAAGGATTCGATTAATAACGGAGAAACGAATGAACACTGCGCCGAGATCTAGATAAGTTATACATATATATATATACATATGGTAGCTAGTTCGGAACGAATGGCAGTATGAATATTCTGTACTCTGCACGTCTGTGTCGTTGCATGCCTGTTAAGAGACAGAGGAAGGTCAATGACATAATCGTTTAATTTATTACTTTTTTTGCGGGTAAAATGTTTTCAAACATCGAATATATATCAGACAGTACAAAGAACTGTGCAGGCCGAGATACCTAAAACAGGCCATCTAAACGATTCGTTTTTTTGTGACAAAAGAGCATTAGATTAATCTTGGTTTCAAGGTGGGTACAATCTGATGCTAGTAGTTTTTTTCGTAGTTGGGGCAGTCTGAGAATAACGGAGAGACGTGATACCAAGGCCAACTTCGTTTCTTTAAATAGAATTAATACTTTGATAATATGATTCGATAAATTAATGAATTCTAATTGTACAAATATTCAAGTATGCCTATTCTAAAATTAATGCTTTACAAGATATTCGGCTATTAATGTGTTACGATGCGGCCTTGATCGGCCTTGAATAATCTTGAGTCATAGGACGTTGAACTCGTCCTTGAAAAAGAACATTCTCTAATATATGCAACTCTTTAAAATAGCAGCGTTATGGACACCGTTAACGGTTCTTAAAATG